TTAGTGAACTTACATTGTATTAATTTTATTTTATTTATTATTTACATAACCTAATTGTACAACTAAGAACCTAAAATTTAAAAGCTTAAAAAAATATAATATGATATATATAAATTTATATACATGTATGTGATATATTTTTTTTTATAAAGGATAATAATGGTATCGTACTTAAGCTAACAGTAGACTGTGGCGAGGCACCGGAGGAGGATAACAGGATGAAAATGAGGACGGGTTAGTTAACTCATCATGATAAAATCACCAGGAATTAATTACCACTCTTTCCACGGGAAACCGCGTCGACGTCTATCTGGCATGGTTACGTTGCTAGCAATGGAGTTAGTAAACCCCATTACTAACGAGGATTGTTATTCATTTTTCATCGAAAATATATATGTATTTAAACTTATATATCTTACATCAATCGCCCATCAATAACAAGTCTCTTCCTCGCATATACGTATCCCTACACATATTTAAATTTATATATCTTACATCAATCTCCTTCTATTAGCAGTGGGGTGAAACATACAGGTGGCAAATAGCAAACCAACATAATCGTTCCCATTTCACTCGTAGCTGAACAGTTTTGCAATACGTCTGTATCTGTATGCAATACCGCAGCCGTATCATTTCCCCGGAGGCTGCGTAACTGACACTTTCGTTTTTCATCTTAGTGCCTTTACACAACACGACCGATACGATCCGATGAAGTACATCTTTTCTTTTTAATCGGACCAAAAACAGAAAAAAAAGAGAAATGATATGGCTAATATTTGTCGTTTTTTTATTGAATTTTCCATTTCGAGGGATTAAGGTGTCATGACTCTTAACCTGTAATCTCTATACCTTATCTTACTCACCCTACAATCTAAACACATCTTTCCAATCGACAACCGCAACAAATTTCGCAAAATAAGCTATTTGGCAGCTCAAATAAGTGAGATAGAAGTAACGACACACGCAGAAATTTTTTTGCAAAATTCATAGCTCAGTCGATATTTAATATCTGTTTACAATAACTATAATACAAATAAAAATAAAACAAGTTAAGAATAATATTACTTATTCGGTAAATATTCAACAAACGCGACACAGACAAAAAATAGGAGACTTAATATGCAAATATACAAATATTAAAATATGTACAATTTAACTATTGGAGTCATCTGTCAGTTTCTATCAAGTAGTTACAGTAAATATCTAAAGAGAAAAGGACTCAACGATATATCACTAATTTAATTTTGACAAAATTATTTGAATGACTATAAAAAAACTCAGGGACGACGTGCCGACTATTTGTAAGACTAATCATTTGTAACTATTGTCGCATATACGATTATAACGATAGTATCGTGTCGTATCGTCGGATCGTAACTACTAAATCTGTACAAAGTAACAGTTAGCACTCCCGTTTGTGAGTGTTAATTGTATATAATTAATTATACAATATTTTGACTAGTTCCTTTCTATCGCAACGATTGAACCGTTTTAAAATTATTGCGTACTAGTTATATGTTTATTCAGAAGATTTAGGTTATCTATAATAATAAAAGTAAATGAGAACTTAGAATAACAAACGCATGTTTCAGTAGAGTTTCATATCTGTTCTTCTCAACTGATGTAACTGGTTGGGACGGTAGGGTGGGGCCTGCCCTATATCATCTACAGGGTGGGCCAACGCCGCCGGAGGCTAACATGACCTCGCAACTCCGGCAATGGCGCTCATTGGTCCACCGTGTGGTATTTTTAGTGGGTAAGAATCCCACACCCAATCCTCGTCATCCCTCTGAGGTTTGATAATGTTTCGACACGATAAAATAGGACGGTTTGGTAGGACATAGGTATAATGAAATAGTAATAAACTATATACTACTAACGAATATGTTATTTGTGCTAATGTTGGACTACGCTGACATATAACAAGTCCAAATTGAGTCTAACTAGGTCACATATGGCCATGTGTGGATATATGTATTTGATCAGTTTAAACATTGCAACACTGTACAGCAGGTAGACACTTGTGACTACATCCTATTACAATACTTTGTGTACAGATTTGTACAAACTACAATATACAATATGCGTACTGTCGGGAACAGATTTTTTTATTTGATAATAAAGAAATAGTGCAGCCAGATTGACTTGTTATGGACCTGTTATACGGAGAATAGAATAGAATAGAAAATCATTTATTCAAATAAATTTACATTGAAGCACTTTTGAATAGTCATCACATTTTTATTCAATTTACCGGTAATTCGGAAAGCTGTCTCATCACAAGAAGAATGAGCAAGTAACTTGCGTGTTGCTCTTTTAAACAACTTTGTTCTTACTATACATTTTTACGTTGCAATGTCTGAGTACAAACTACCAATTACTACTACATCAATTAAATACTCAAATAGAGAAATGAAATACATAGAGCTGACCGGAGGATCAAAAACCAAGTATTTAACATGATCGTGGCAGAGGACGACCGAAAAAAAGATGGATGGATTGTGTGAAGAAGATGTATAAAAGAAGAGTAAGCTCAGATATGACGGCTGATAGGGATCAGTGTAAGAAGAGGATATAGGCAAAGCAATGATGAATGGAATGGTGCACCTAACGGTTTACGCTGGCGGGGCACTAGTGGGGGATAATAAGATGAGCATGAGGTCAGATCAGTTAGTGCAACGTGACAAATTTATCAAGAACTTATCACGACGGTTTCCAGTGGTAATTGCTTGGAGGTCGACCTGACCACACATGACAACGACATGTCCGGGGAGAAAGGAATTATTAGTAATGTGGAGTAATTAATCCATTACTAGCAATGGACCATGTCAGGTTGACCTCCACGCGGTTCCCTCTGGAAACTATCGTCATAAATTCGTCGTGAATTTGCCACGATGGGCTAACTGTCCTGATCTCATGCTCATCTTATCATCTTCCACTGGTGCCCCGCTAGCGTATACCGCGCGGGCGAGTGCACCATACCATTATCATCCATGAAAAAATAAAACGTCATATCTGTAGTGCTGACGTATATTTTTTTATTATAAGTGAAATGCTAAGAAAGGTGTCTGTGTGAGTGATACTGAATGAGTAAGTCAAAAATTAACAGAACATTTTAAATAATTACTTCATTTTAATTTTTCCTCAAACCTACGTTTATGTTCTTTTGCTTCTAGTGATAAAAACAGTTATACCAAATTGAGGTCTGCGTAGGTGGCTTCGAGGCGCTTTAATTCCAAAAAAGGACAGATCAACAGAAGGTCAACTCTTGTCCGATAAACTTAAGACCTTGACTTAGGTCCCCTTGTTAACGAAAACGGTACTGATAATACAAAACTAAATTATACTTATCGTAAATTATATTTTTAACTAGCTATTTATATAGAAACTTAGTTTTAAATTAAAATAAATATAATTTTAAAATAAAAGTGTTGTAACTGTATTATTACTAAACTAGCTTTTGCCCGCGGCTTCGCTAGCGTTAATTTATCCTCTTAGGGGTGGAATTTATCAAAATATCAAAATACTTTATGTATGCAAAGTCTCACCCTGATCGGTTTAAAATTGACAAAGTTTCATATAAACTTTCATCCCCTATTTTATTCCTTTGAGGTTAGAATTATTTAAAATCCTTCTTCTTCTTAGCCGATGCCTACGTCATAACATCTACCTGCATACCAAATTTCAGCCCGATCCGTCCAGTGGTTTGGGCTGTGCGTTGATAGATTAACTCACTACGTCAGTCACCTTTGAGTTATATATACATATTTAGATTTGTATTTAAATTTATTTGGTTCCTTTTATTGTACATTCTTGTTTTGTTACTTCATTCTGTTATGTCAGTAGTCTATCCAAAATATATATTTTCTCCGTATACCTATTCTTTATTTCTTTTACCTATATACAAATACTATAAAACTACAACGAAAAGTAATTTAATTTACTTGAATAAAATTAGCAAGAACAAACTGACAGACAGATAAAAAAGATTGCTGCGAAAATATATCCCTAATTAAATTTAAAAATAAATTTTTTATTTTAAACTTGAAAAGAATAAGAGATAAGTTTCTTGTTAATTCTTCTTAGCTCTAAAGCACTCCAAACTGGCGGTAGATTTGACATTATCGTAAGAGCCTGTAGTAGACCTACATGAATAAGGATATAGTGATTTGATTTGATTATAATTTCATTACGACCATGATAACTGTCATTTACCAAACAAGGTCTAAGCCCTAAAATGTCATAGTATTGTTACACATACTGATTACGATCTGGTGAAAGGCCGCACGGTTACGCCTTGCAACTAGGGTTGTCAAATGGCCGATATAAATATGAAACTTCGGTATGAGAACAAAAGCAGTTAGCCGTAAACATGAATTGATCGCAATGGTTTTAATATATGAACAGACTGCAGACGTCATACCATCAAGTGAGACCTGTGATACCACTCTTACATATGACACTCCTGAGAACTAAAGTGTCATCATAATGTCATTGAAATTTTTAATAAGGGTCTATTTATGACCCTCGGTGGTCTAGCGGTCTAGCACACCGCTTTACTTCCGACGGTGGTGAGTTTGACTTCTCGCACGCTGCAAACATTTGCATTCATGAGTATATTTGTTTGTATCGGTCTGGGTGTTTTGTATGAATACTATGTATGTATTTATAAAAAAATCTAAGTATTTCTGTCAATTGTCTAGTACCCATAACACAGGTTCTGTTTGCCGTAGGACTAGATGGCGCTGTGTTAATTGTCCAGGGTTTTTGTTATTTATTTATTTATCAAATAGGGATCACAATTACGACGGCTTGAGCCGAGGATTGAACTCATAACGGTACCCTCAGACTAAAGTCATATCCGTCAGACAGGATTTGGCCTTCAGCCGCTCCATAAGTCCTTCGCGGGTGTGGAGTGCCATCTACACTCGCCCCCTATCGAGTAGTCCGAAAAAAAAATTGTCTGTTTGTCTGACTGTAGTATTGTGTTGTTGTTTCAGACTGAAAGATGTGGAGCGTGTTGTTGTTGGTGGCGCTAGTAGCGACCGCGCGTTCTAAACAATTACCTCACACACATGGTAAGTACCTCATTTTTTTATTAGTAGTAGTTAATTCTACAATCTACAAAGTGTACGCGAGAGCTCCAGCTGACCTTAGGAAGTGCAGTGGTACACAAATTTTTTTTTTATACTACGATGTTAGCCAACAAATGTACGGCCCATCTGATGGTACCAACGGATCTGATCCGGCCCAACGGATACCTATGGACGCCTGAAACACCAAGGTTGTCACATACGCGTTGCCGATTCTCAACAAACCTTAGACTTAACCTTACCTTACTTTTCTCGAAAAATTTCATGCTATAGTCTGCTAAGAAAACCTCGGCAGGTAGTTAATTCTACAATGTAAATGTATGTGGGAAGAAGATCCTCTGAAACCGTACTGTCCGAGACTACGTTCGTTCGTTCGTAATTACATGAGCGGCCGTTTCTTCGGCTTCAAAGCAGCCCCGACAAAGGGGACTGTCTACTGACAGTGTGCACCTATTGTGTACAGGTGTTTATTTAAGGGACAGTGGCCGGACGGTTAATAGTTTTAAATGTGTTTAGGTATATGTTATTGTTAATTTTAGTCACACTGGAAATCAGTGAGTCACACCCAAACTTAGCGAACATGTTTTAGTAGTTTTCGACATGTGAATGACCTTACAACCATTATTGGCATGGTGGTACAGTCAGCTTAATATAAATGTTTCTACTATTATTAATATTAACCTAGCTAAACTTTGTACAAAGTCGCCTGCTTGTGTACAATTACTACCGCCAAGTATATTGTTTTGTTTGTATGTTTTTCGTTTATTTATTTATTATATTTTTATGTAATTGGAATGACAAACAAACTAACGGCTCTACTGGTGGTAATTGGTAACGTCACGAACACCACGATATCACGTGATGCCCATGATACCACACATGTGTTGCCATTATGGATCACATATATATTAAGTCTCTTATTCTGTAATTCAGTCGGTAAGATGAGATATAGCTGTGAAATTATAAAACTATGGAGACATATCGTTAAATCCTCAGAAATAACAACATAAATTGGTGCAATTTATTTTAATTCATCAGAAAAAGCCTTCATTTCTAAGAACTTAACGATATGCCTCCATTGTTTTATAATCTCCAGTCCATTTATATACTCTTATATATGCTTGCATTAATAATAGTAGAGTAAACCTCAACGTGTTCTAAATAGTTGTTACAAAACAATTAGGTATCTAATTATACTATTCAAATGTTGCAAGCACGCAATGAACAATAGCTAAGTAGTTAGTTAATGTTATTGTCTAAACATAATAAATATCAATTTGTAAGATCGATTTATTAAGACTATCATCCTACCATTACCATTCTATCATCAATCAGATCTATACATATAAATAAAATTGGAGTGTCTGTTTGTAATATTGAAATAACCGTTTTTTACTACATGCATACGTAAAAAATGTTATGTATATACACACCAAAATAACATAATTTTTGTCTGGCTATCTGTATGTCTGTTTGTTCCGGCTAATATCTGAAATGGCTGGACCGATTTTGACGGGACTTTTTTTGGCAGGTAGCTGAAGTATAATACACACTTTTATTTTAGAAAAATATAATAATCTAGACGAATATAATTTGAGACTATTGTAATATCATAATAAGTAAACAATAAAATAATAAATATGACCTTCATAAACATAACCAACTTCAACAGGGGCCATGTCTGTTCGGGTTATGGCTACTGATTACACTATTTGCTTTTGACAAAATGCAGTAGTATATGTTGGTTGTCACTCTATGCTCCCTAAATTGAATTTAAAATCTGTTTTTTTGTAAACATGTATCAGCTCATTTGAAAGGAATAAAAGCTAAGGTTCTTGTCAGTTCTTACTCAGTATACTCAGTATACGCTCCGAACTGACCGTAGATTTCGACATATCACAAGAGTCTGTAATAGACCTACATGAATAAAGATTTTGACATATCATAAGAGTCTGTAATAGACTAAGATATTTGGATTTGGTTTGCCCTAGGTGGTATAGCATTTTAACTCGACTCCAGCTATGTCACCCTCAATGTCAGATTACTCCTAGTCTGTATAAGCGACATTGTCCTGCTCCTCGGTGCTTAATACCTTATCTCTATATATGATCTTACAAAGCAGGCCTCTAAAGGCAGCAATAGATGAATTAATGGTACCGTCACAGACTACTTTGTATAAAGCAGTGATTCCCAACGCGGGGCCCACGTCCCACAGGGGATTTTGATTTTCAAGTGGGCAATTTGAAAATGGACTCGACACGAGTTCGCTCCGGGCCATTTCAATGCAATACTAGATTTCGGTGCCAAATTAAATGAAAAAAGCAAATTTTAAATAACTGTTTTATCTCTAAATTGAAATAGTAAATAAAAATAGAAAAATCTTTACTAAATTTATTTGGAATTGTGTAGCCCTAACGGGTTCTTTAATGAAGGGGCTGTATATTTATAAAATATTGTTCTAATACAATAAATGAAATAAAAGGAATTATGGCAATGCGTATCTTCGCTCGTTTAATTTCAGTATTTGATTATTTTGCTTATTGTGTTTCTTTAACAATTTCCTAATAATTACTTCCTAAATCATCTCATTTAAATTTGTTAAGTGAACATTCATCAATTAAATATTACGTATGTTATTTTGGAGGGGGAGGGGGGAGCATAAGAATTTTTGAAAGGCTAATGTGTGGCACGGCACAAAAGATTGGGAAACACTGGTACAAAGTTAACCTCTGATCCTCTGGTAATACTGTAAAAACAATCGCCTGTCTCGTAATTTTTAAAGCAATCTACCAATACTGTTAGCAGGTTTTAGTGTCCGGCTGGGTGCACGACCGGGGTCGATGACCTTCGGGTCGGTGCGCAGACGCATCCTTAGAAATTGCCCACATGGTCATTTCCAACCAACTTCAAAATGGGAAGTTCTAAATTCGATCGCCTTTTTTGTGGGTCTAAATAAGACATCTTAACCAATTTATAGTAATACTAGTGTTTAACGTTTAAACAGTTCTATACATTTTAGTAACAACTGCGTTGATGACTGACATAGTCAGTAAAGTCCTTCTCTTATTAAAACTAAGATATCTCCTAAAGCGTTCGTTGAAATTAAATGAAGGAAAACAACAATTTTGTTCAAAATTGAATACTTATAATTTAGATAAAAATTAATATCATGTTTATAAAAACATCTTAGTAAATAATGTATTATTTTAGAAGAAAATTGATACCAGAAAAAAGGTTGGTAAGTTAAAAGCTAGACATACATATGTATGTGGTTGCGGACTTTTTTTAGAACTTTTAAAGATGAAGAATTCCATCATACATACTTATTGCGTAAGTTTAACCGTAACTTTAACTAACCTGACTTGGTCATCATATGATCCATACGTATACCACCAGTATAAATCCACCGTTATCATTAATCATAATTTCCATTATCATCGATAAAAAAACAAATGTACAGTCGAATGAATAAAAATAAAACACATAATATCAAGAAATAGGTACATATTGTGAATCAAAGTAAAACATATATTGTTAACAAGCTCATCTCGCGTGACACACACCTATTATAAATGTCTGTCCGTCTGTACACACCCTTACGTTCCCACAACAAAAAGCGCCTTCAAACTTAAGACTACAAATTATGGGCTCAAAGATTGTTGTATCGTTTCGTCTTGTACAAAAACTTTATGGTCTTTTTATGGGCTACGTTTCGAAGAACACATAATTTTATGGCATTTACAATCGCTCAGTGTTATGGGAGTTCAAATGTTACATGGGAGTCATGTTTTTAAACTCACAGTTAATGCTCTTGACGCTTTTGTTACTTATTTTATGTCGTATAGCTGTCCATGCGACTTCGTCCGCGTGGAATTTAACTTTATTTTTCTAAAATAAAAGTAACCTAAGTTAATCCTTATTACATTTTGCCAAAAAAAGTCCCGTCAAAATATAGCCATTTGAGATTAACCGGAACAAACAGACAGACAAAAATTGATAAAAATGTTATTTTGGTGTATGTACGTATTTATATTCATATGCATGTAGTAAAAATGGGTATTTCAATATTACAAACAGACACCTCAATTTTATTTATATGTACCTATAGATATAATAAGAAATTTAATACGTAAAGACTATACAAGTACCTACGTATATAAATACGGAGGTACTTGCTGTACCGACAATGTTTATCATGTAAATTATTTTAAAATAGGGTCACACTTATTACCTAGCGTTTAAAGACAATATAGCCTAAAATATAGCCTACGATCCATTCTCAAACCAATCAAATAAACCCTCCACCAAATCTTCTATAGCGGTCAGAAGAAATAAAGATTATGAATGTGATTGTTTGTATTGGTCTGGGTGCTTTTTGTACATATGTATATAATATAAATAGTGAATATTATGAATGTATTTTAAAAAAAAGTATTTATAATATTTATATTACATAATACAAACTACGCTTAGCTTGGGAATAAATGGCATTACAGGAAAAAAACCTGTAAATAATTTTTATTCTAGCAATTCTAACCACAGATTCAACTTAGGCCGTACAGATCATTTATTTCTTATAACATAGGTATACATAGATACTACCTATAATATAGTATAATATACTATATGTTCACGGTTCACGCCTACCTAATAATGACTATATCTAATAAGGAATAAAGTAATTGAGAACTGGATCCAAAGAATTATTTTTTTTATATTCGCAATGATTGGTTGGAGGTCGTGAATTACTCATGAATTATATATGTAACCATACTGAGAATATAATCAGATTTTTTAGTTATATTAAAAAGGTCAACCTTATTATATATACAACATGTATAGACGAATAATTTCTATACAATAGGAAGTGATAATACAATAATACAATACACTACACAGTATAAAACAAAGTCGCTGTCGCTGTCTGTCCGTCTTTATGTATGCTTAAATCTTTAAAACTATGCAACGGATTTTGATGCGTTTTTTTTAATAGGTAGAGTGATTCAAGAGGAAGGTTTATATGTATAATACATGTACACCCAGCCTCGCTCGGATGTACATGTATTATATATATATAAACCTTCCTCTTGAATCACTTTACCTATTAAAAAGCGAGTAGGTAGTATACAATAAGACAATAAAAATTATATTATTTCTTCCTAAAACCCGTGTTTACCAGCCCAATATATATACAGTCCTTCGTTTACAACACTAATTACTAACTATAATTGGACCTATGCTTCTATCCTTAACAGAATAATTTTGTAATATTTGAGTCACAAATGCCTTTTAATTTTGAACTGATAGACATTTCGTCAAAATATCTGCTATAACTTTTTCAGGGGGAAAGTATTTAATTATATAGGCCTGCAGGCGTATTATGAACTCTTATTCCCAGTCAGTTTAAGGCCGTAAACTGAACTGCCTGGAAACTGACTGGATTTTAATGAGCTCATAATAGAGAGCCCCCTGATGGAGATATAGTGTGGATATACAGCAGTAAATATCATTTACTCTGGATTTCAAAACAGTTGTACGCAAGATTTATCTATAAATATGGATTATACTTTTTATTCCGAAATTAATGTACCTTATATGCGTTGCCATTCCAGAGAACTAAGCTTCGATGCACTGTAATTTTACTGTCATATAGTACCCTTCAAACCGGAATGAATATATTTTACATGCAAGTTACTTAACTGCAGACGTTAGGATATAATATCTACCTATGCAGTCGATTTTGTACTCTCTCCCTTTTAAAAAGAGTTAAATTTTGTGTGTCACATATTACCATATATTTATTAAAACAGACACTGAGATACAATACCGACTCAAGCAGTCGATTTTAAACTCTCTCCCTTTTGAAAATGAGTTAATATTTATGTGTCAAGCATTACCACATATTTATTAAAATTCATAGCGTCACTCTCCTATTGCAGTCTCGAGCGATGCATTGGAAATACTCATGTGTCACATGCAAATACCGACCTTGTGTGAAGGTCGTACGCGCTATATTACAACGAGAAACTGGTGACATAACAGGCTAAAGATCATGATGCAACTTGTTACTGAAGGTCATTTTTTAATAACTTAGAATGGCAAAACAGAGGCACCTGATGGAGTCGCATTAGGACATTAACGGCAGATCATTAGTAGATATTACAAAAAATTCTGTGTCGCCCTGTATGCCTGAATTTTTTATAATGTAGTCAAAGTCATGAGAGGTGAAAAATGTAACCAAGCGGTATTAACTTCGGTGTCCATAAGAGCGCCCAATAATTACGTAAAAGCAAGAAGACAAAACTTGTATCATGTTCCATGGAGAAGAACAGAGCTGGCCAAACAGGCTCCTATTTCTCTGGCATTGAGTCTACTCAACGGTGTAGTTAGTCGCTTTCCAGATCTAGACATATTTACTTGTAATTTGCTGGAGTTTCGTAGGATGGCAGTAGATTATTTAGGTAGTATGTTAAATGGAGATTAGGTATTATTATTATTATTGTTTTTTTTCTCTTTTGTTTTTCTTGTGTAATTAGTGTTTATAATTGTGTGTATTTGTATATTATCTTCCTAAGTGGGCATAAGACTGTTAACATGTAAATAAATATTTCATAACTATCTTCAAATCTCTCTTCATCCATCTCGATCTAGTTATGAGATATACTTTTAAGATAAAAATTTAAAGTATAATGTCTAAAATATTGTAACTAAGAACCATCTCGATCAAGGTATTTTTCAAACGAAAAAACATGTCATAATCGGTCCATTTGTTTAGGAGACACCTACCTATGCCACAGACATGTCGTATTATAACAACTGTTTTTGAATTGCGGTGTTCAAAAAAAGTAGACAAGAAAATAACTTTTGAAATCTTCATACAAACTGTGCGATCTTGTAATCAATAAGGAAAAAAAATATTTTAAATATAAACTTCCACTTTATGTCATGGTAACAGCGATTCAATTATAAGTCTCACTCTCTAAGAGTCGAAACTCTACTCGGCTTTTATCTCGGTATACCCTGTACAACTAAACATGTATAATATATAATAAATATATATAATTGCTCTGTACATGTGTTTGTCACTTAATTTCCGTCCAAACTACCCCCTTTCCCATTCAAACATAAATCGAAATCACAATGACGTAAGCCCAGGTTCAAATCTAGCGACGCCCTCAAACTCAAGTCGTATCCGTCAGAAGTTGATCTTCACACTTCAGCCGCTCCATAAGCTCTTTGCGTCTGGAGTACCTCCTGCACTCACCCTTATTGTCGTTTGATGGAGTTATAAATGTCAACAGCATTAGAATAGTTTGAAAAATAAACTAAAAAACGGCTTAACCGATTCGGATGAAATGTGTGTATAAATCAATAGGTTCCTGGATGGTTTTAAAACGTACTACAAAGTGTCTTGTCTTTATCCTGACAGAACGTTATACGTGGGTTCCGCCAGGAGTTAATATGTTTTTTAATTAAAACACACATCTATATGTTTTCCTCAGTTGTTCCAGTGGAATAATTTTTGTATACTTTCTACAAAATAGTTAATATTTAACTGGCGCATACCGTATCATATGTAACACAGTAATTTGCAATGCTTTCTGACTTCATTCGTATAACTACGAGATTATAATCAAACATAAACATCATAATGGTTTGGCATTATAAAGTAACATTATATATATAAAAAACTACTTATATATGACAAAGTACATAGAGACCCCATGGGAATTTTATTTACATTTAAAAATTATGTAGTACTTATTATAAAATATTCTTATCTGTAATAATAATAACACAAAATAAAGCACACAGCGCCATCTAGTTCTAAACTAAGCGAAGCTTGTAAGGCTTCTAAACGACCGATATAAACACTTTAAACACACTTTTTTAATACATAAGTAACACCCGGACCAGTTTATACAAACAATTATATTAATTTTTTTTTTTGACTACTATAATGCCTTTAGCCTCAGCTGGCCTTTACAGCTTTGGCGGACGATAGGAGCAAGTGCAGATAGCACTCCAAACCCGCGGAAGTACTTATGGAGCGGCTGAGGCCAACTCCCGCCTGACGGATACGACTTTAGTCTGCGGGCACTGTTAAAGGTTCGAACCTCGGCTCAGGCCATCGTAATTTCGATCCCCGTTTGAATTACACGGAGGATCGATCGGAGGGGGATAACCATATATATGAACAAAATGTTTGTATAATGCAAGCAATGAACCCGTGACCATCGTAAGTAAGGCGCTGTACTAAACCGCACCGAGGCCGTCAGTTCATTCAGTTTAATGATGATTACATGTTCGTATCTCACAACAATCAACAAAATACACCGTTACAGTAACGTTAACATATCGCCGAAAGCTAATGTTGACTTACATTTTGTACTCATGTGTTTGAACACTGTGAAAATGATATATAAATATGTTGTACTCGTATATATTAACCAGCGACCCGTCCCTTTTTTTTCGGACTACTTTAATGCTGTTGGCCGCAGCTTGGCATTACAGCTTCACCGAACGATAGGGACGAGCAGATGGCACTCCAAACCAAAGGAAGGACCTACTTATGGAGCTGCTGAAGGCCAACTCCCGCCTGACCGATACGACTTTAGTCTGATAGCAGCGCTAGAGGTTTGATCCTCGGCTCAGGATGTTGTAATTTCGATCCCCGTTTAAATTGGAGGGGGTATTGATCGATGGGGCTATCTTTGGGTATATAGAGATAAATACATTGATTAGAAAAATGTTATCAAAGTGCAGACTAATCTACCACCCGTTCACAAGTATGACGAATGTATTAACCGTCATTTTTAAAAATGCTTAATATTTACAGATATATCAACAACAACAGTAGCCACAGCAACAGAACTGGACACAACAACGTGGCCCGGCGCATTGGCGCCACTAGACACGCTGACGGTCGCGTGCGAGCGAGACAACATGCATGTCACCATCTCGCTCGCGCACACGCACGCCGCGCACTCTGACAGGTTAGATACCATAGAGTTTACTTTTTATTCCAAAGTCCTTTAGGCAAAGAAAGCAACTGAAGGGGAGTCATGTCTGCAAGTTTTTATTTGTTTATTTTGTGAAGAATTTGTTTTCTGCGCTTATTTGTATAAAGTACTCGAGTATTGCACATGACTGCATTGCGCCTTCACGACTATTATCGTAGATGGAGTAGTCAGAGGCATTACCATCTGTAGGCCTTATGACAAACGGACGTGTTCATTGTATATTTGAAACCGATGTGGCTCAAGGCGGACTTACTGCCTTAGCGCCGTTTATCGGATTAGTTTGTTTGTTGTATTTGTTTCCATCACCTGAAAGTCTGGCAGTGGCACCATCTAGTCCTAAACTAAGTAGAGCTTGAACTATAAGTACTACACTACTATTTCAAACGAATTATCACATAACGAATTATTTATACAAATAGGTGTATATAAGTATATCTTTATATTGTTTAGGATCCGTTTCGATCCGTTTCTAAACTCTGTTTAGTTTAAACCTAGACAGCTGTGTGCATATTATTATTATATAATAATAATAATAATAACACATATCAATTCCCATAGGGCCCTGTAGTCTCTATCTAAGCTGAGCTTATGTTATGGGTACTCAACTACTCATAGATATACTTAAATATGTTTTTTTTTTATAAATACACACAAAATTATATAGAAAACAGATCCATACCTAACAATCATTCTCATGAATACAAATGTTTCCTGCAAGGAACCGAACCCGCGACTATCAAATGTATGGCAGTGTGCTAAACCGCTAGACCACCGTGACCGACAATATTCTAGGTTGTAATGTAATGTAAATTGGACTCTATTCCCGGCATTTAGGCTCTCATCTGGGCCGTTCTGTAGAGCCGAGACTAGTCAAACAAACTCTTCAAAAAATATTCTAGGTTATTTATTTTGTATTTTTTCCAACAGTATATACGAGACGTTCAACGGTATAGTGTACCCAGCTGGACTGGGCAGTAACTCCACCTGTCTCCGGGAGTACGTGTCAGCAAGAGGGGATCTGCAATACACCCTTCCATTAAAGGGATGTAACACTATGTCCACGGACAGTGTAAGTACCAAAAGATTTTTTTATCTTTCTTCTCTTTTTATACCGTCTCCTACTGAAGGTTGGCGATCATCATGGTGACCTTAACATGGTCTAACATTTTTCTAAACAGGATCTTATCTTAAACCCTAATAACTGCCTTAAGTTCTTTAGCCATGACATGCGGCGTCTGCCCGGTCTTCGTCCGCTCTAGATTTTATTTAATAATTACATATTATTTATTTATTTCTCCTCACAAACGTGGATGGCAACAAATATATGTAGTATTTTAGATAATACAATACATAAAGTTAGTATTAATAAAATACTGCTTACAATGTAGTTTTTGATATCTGTAATTCATAGCTCAAAATGAGTATTTTGCTCTGCATTACTGAGTGAGTGTTTCTCCACACTGAGTTATGACCCATTTTATATTGCTGTAGCACACATGTAGTATTTATATTGTATTGCATTAGTCTGAAACATAGAAGAAAAAAGATTTTTATTCTGTGGTTTATATAGTCTGTATTGTATACTATTTGTATTTCGCGCCTAGAAACTATCAACCAGCAATTTTTATCATTTTTAATTATTCATTACTTGTTCACAAAGTTATAAATAAAGGACAAACAAATGATTACTTTACAATTGAGGAGCAATTTCATTCAATCTTTTTATACTAAACAACCATTACATTCGCATCCATCCTTACATTAAAACGCCTTTTTTCTATATTCTATAGTTGATCAAATTACAAAGCAATATATCTTTTTTTTGGACTACTCTAATGCTATTAGACGTAATTGTATTGTATTTAATTATTTATAGTTGTCTAGTACTCATAACACCAGCTCTGCTTAATTTACGACTAGATGGCGCTATATGTTATCCAGAATTATTATTATTATTCACCTGTTAACATACAGGTTGATCAAACAGCCAGTCAGTCAGTAACCAAAAATGACGGTTCATTTAACACTTGAAAATTACGTAACAAAGCTCTGACGTACGTAAGCCTGACACCACACACGGTTCTATTGTTCTGTCACTTTTAACATAATACAACGCCCACCCACTTGTCTCTTGGTATAGTGAACAGCATAATGCACTGGGAGAGGGAATTGTTAGTAATCATATGTATAAAATTCTCGTATCACAATGTTAGTTGCCATACTCCTCCGAATCGACTTGACCGATTTTTATGTGATGCTTATTTATTAGGTTTGAAAACATCGGCTACAATCTATTTTTCTTACCCCTAAATGATTTATCATTTAGGGGTAAGAAAAATAGATTGTTGTTTTTTTTTTGACAATTTATCGTTTATTTTTTATAATAATTTTTCCCTCCTATCGATACCCCGTACCCTAAGCCGAAGTTCAAACCCTTACGGGGCCCTCAGACTAAGGTCGTAACCGTCAGGCAGGAGTTGGCCTTCAGCCTCTCCAGAAGCCCTTCCCCGGGTTTGAAGTGCCATCCGCACTCGCCCCCTAATCGTCTGGTGAAGCAAGGCCAGCTGCGGTCGACAGCATTAGAGTAGTCAGAAAAAAAACTGAATATAGCCTAATGACAAACGTACCGTTATTTGTTCATTAGTGTACGATTACTGCGACGGCCACGCGGTTTGGTATAGTTTTATTATTAGTTTTCTTTCTGAATTTCCCGTAATCAGGTCTTATTCAAAGTCAACTTTGAGTATAAAACATTAAAATATTCCCTCACAATTATTTCAAGAACATTGTCTACAAATCAAATCCAGTAATACTTTTGTATGCATCTCACATGTTTCCTAGTTACATAATGCATGACATGTGTGTGCAATGAACTGTGATATTCTCAGTACTTATTATCATAAATTATCTATACAAATAAATATAATTGTAGTATCTGTTTGTAATTTGAAATTAACAGCTTAGCACTAAGTGCATATGAAAGTACGGTACTTACATAAAAAAATATCTGTCTGTCTGTCTGTTTGTTCTTGTTAATCTCTGACACAGCTGGACCGATTTTGATGGGACTTTCACTCGCAGATACACTAGCTATCTGAGACTGTGATGAGTTGCTTAGGCTACTCTTATTTTAGAATTTCGTTTATTACCCACGACTTTGTCTGCTTGGAAATCGTATAGTTTGGTAAGAACACACAGACAGACATGTTTTTTTAATTAATCTATTGATGTAAGTACCGTAGATATTCCATACGCATTTAGAAGAAGCTGATAATTTGAAATTTTTTATTTGTATAGATTTTCACAATTATTAGCGTTTTATAGGCAGTTTGTTATTTAAAGCAATAAGAGCAATAATGGAGTAAAATATCGTACTCAGAAATACTGCCTGTATTAGTACGATATTTTAGTTCACTGAAATGATACCACGAGTGTAACAATGATGTCATTATGATCATTTGTCGTCAAGTTAACCGCCAATGTTGCCAGTTATATTAAGAAATTAACGTAACGCTACAAAAAAAACGAATGTTACACCAAAAATTACAAAACCGTCTGAGTGTTGAAAAAATGTTCAGACGCGCTAATATTTCGTTCCCTACTTACATAATATGCTTCCCACAAGATTCTGTCTAATATAATTGCAATATTGCAACTCTCAATACGACCTCGTAAGTGCAGTGAAAACACTTTTTTAATTTAACTTAAATGGCTTATTATATAGGTCTATTACAGACTTTTATAATATACTGAAAAACTGACGGCTAATACGGCTCTTTCTTTTCAATTGTGCTTGTACATGTTTACAATAATACAGATTATTTTTTTTATTCAAAATTATGCAGAATAGAGTGAAAATGCATATTGCAATTGCATTGTAATATTGCCAAAACAAAATAGTCTAAAAGGTCTAAAAGAATGTGTTTAAAGAAATGTAATTTGTTATATTAGCTAGTAAAAATAAAGCGACTCATCGTTCCCTAACGCCCTACGGCTATAGCAACGTTTCCTGACTCAATACAGCTATTGTATCACGATAATCGTGATCATAACTCGTGATCTATACAAATCACATCACTTCCCGCCAGTTACATGATGGTAACTGTAATATATTACCATAATTAGCGATGACATAGCACACTAATAAGAAACTAAATAAAAAAGATTGACATATGCGAATTGGATGCGTATATATCATACGTAACATGCTGCTTCACTTGGTGCTTAAAATTGCGAATAACTCTATCTAATGTATAAATTCTCGTGTCGCGGTGTTTGTTACTAAACTCGTCCGAAACACCTTTACCAATTTTTTTGTGTGCATATTTACTAGTAGGTTGGTCTGAGAATTAGCCAAATAAATATACATGACTAAATAAATATTTTTAATCAAATTTTTTTAAATTAAATGTCTTATAATTATTCTTCATTAAAAAAACCAATGTTTGCGGTATTGATTTTGATGATATTTTATATGTATACTCGGTAGGTCTGAAAGTAGGTTGTTATCTATTACCCCTAAGTGATATGGTTGGTCCAAAAGTATCTTATTTATCTCCATTCATATATATATTCTATACTATATATATAGTATTGACTTAAAATTTTAATAAACTATATATTTTCAATTAGAATGCGTTGCGTTGTTTTAAAGATCTGTGCTATATAAAATATAAATTTGATTTGTTCGTTCTTTTTATGCTGTCTCTACTTTTCTTAATAAGTGGCAGATTAAAAGAAAACTATCACTGTTCCCAACTTAAATTTACTTGAATAAAAAAAATTTTATTAATTGAAATTTCGAATGCATAATCTTAGTGTATAATTAACAAATATAATATTAATAAAGACATTTATTCAGCATAACATCAGGAGAGTTTACAATATTATTTGTACTATATATATCTTAAACGTTAACCTACTATTAACGTTGAAAGTGACTCCCACTCAGCATTTCCACTATTCCTTTTCATAGAGAATCTTAAATAAGAACATTTTATAGTGGCTATGCACATAAACAGCGCTGGTTCTAACTACATTTAATTATCCACTATAATCACCTGTGAATTACGCACAAAAACCTTGTAGTTTAACAACAAATCCATTAAAGTAATGACTGTGTGGATAGGAGTCTTTAATTTGACATTTTTTCTAAATTGCTAACTATTTACAATCTTTTTGCTGGTCACTATTAAAAAAACCTTTTAGTTAATAGTCTGCAGTAAATAATAAGCAATTTAAAGACCTTTTTATTCGATTAACATTAGTGTAGTAAATTATCGTTGGATGAATTTTTATTATATGTAGTTGTGATTAAATCACGTATATTTTGGTCATATTGTGATTATTGTTCGTAAACTCAGTAGTAGAACAATGGCAATAAAAACTCAGTACTTTGTAACAGATGAGTTTTTTTTTGAGAGCGATTTATCGAGAAAACAAATGGAATATAGAGCTGGTAAATACAATTTTATCAAATCAGGCGGGTAAAATAACAGTCAGTTCATCGATTTTTGCTATTGAATATCCAATTCTGGTCATTCATACCGAATACCGATATATCAAAACACTACGAAACAATTTTTTAAAAATGTGTTTCCTTGTAAATTTTCATTTTATCAGGAAAATCACGTATATAAGTTTCAATAACAAAGGCTTAATTAATATCAAATTTTTTTGTAATTTATCAAATTAGAGACATTTCCGAAATACACGAAATAAATATAGGTATACGACAAAATAGTGCATTTTAAATAATACAATGAACGTGTGTTTTATACAAATAAAATATTTCAATTGTCTGGAAGTGTATTGTTAGCCTGTGTACCTAAAGTACAATAATCTACAATTTTTTATAATATGATAAACACGCAGTCCTAAATAAACAGTTTTTTTAAATTCACATTTACTTCACTCTGCATCAGGGCTGCCAACGTTAAAACATTTAGTTTCATAAAATATCGTATATTACTTTAATTTGACTCATTAATCTTATCTATAATCTATATAACATCATACAATAGAATTTTGAACAATTTTCGTATATTATCTCGTACATACTTGGTACTT